GGATGGAGCAGTGGGGGGTGGGAGAAGGGGTGACCCAGGGCCATGAGGACCTGCCTGCAGGTGGAAGCAGCTCTTTAAGGACTATGGACGTTTCATTTCATAGAATGGAAACCCGTCCTGCATGAGCTTTGTTCAAAAGTACAGCGAAATTCCATCTATAAATTCTCTTTTAATGGAAATTCTGCCTTTATAAAATTAAAGTGAGTGGTGAGAACAATTTTCAGCCTGCTTATGGGTCTTTTATAGATTTTCCTTGAAGCTTCATGGATTGTAATTCACTGATCTGGAGAGAGAAGATTGTAGTTGTATTTACCTCCAATTATCATTCAAATAGAGGACAGGGGACCCCCCTCCAATAAAATTACTAAGATAAATTTCCCATTTCTGTTTTTCTGGAAAATACTCCTCCTAATGCCCCCCCGAACGTCTTTTGCACCTGGCTCATTATTGGATCCAAAATATAGTGCCTGTTTGTTAATTTAATTTGGCAAGGCCAGCTTCCATAAGTCCTTGCCTGTTTCAAAGTCAGCAAACTACCAGGGACCAAGAGTTTTGTGCTTCTGAGGCCGCGCTAGTAAAATCAAAGTCCTGACATCCTACTAATCTCTGCAAACACAAGTGAGCTTTTATTACAATCCCCACATCACATGTGTGTACCCCTGACACGGACACACACACACAGGGACAGGTGGCCTCAACATTCAAACAGTTGGCAGTGTCCCTAGTAGGCATCAAGGATCACCATGCCACCGGCATGATTGGTTGTTTGTGGGGTCGGAGCTGTTTTTCCTCCATGTGAGCCCTTATCTACAGCTCTGATTGCAAAGCTTCATTTTCCCTATTGAACAAGTAATCTAAATGATAATCAAGTTCACCGGATTTATTAGGCCAATGCCCTTCCAGAAGCCCATTTTCTGCAGTCACCCCGAGCACTTTGAAGAATGTTTCCAGACACTTGCTTCCTCTGTCTCAGAAACACCAAAACCAAGAGACGTCTGTTGGAGAAAATTCAGCAGGGAACCCACAGACCAGCCTGGAGCATAGATAACAAGTCTATATCTCCCTGAATCTTCTATTCAAGACTGTGCCTTCCCCAAAGGGATGGAAATTGGGCGTGTTTTAGGGGAACCCCAATACATGTGCATTCTAAGATTGCAAGGCTGTTCATTATGCTCATTTCAAAGCCACGGAGCAGCTGTCCGTCCTGCTACTGGAGTAATTACATCATGGCTTTCAAGGTTTAAATCCAGTTACTTGCACATCATTTCTATTTAGCTCAAAGTGGTGGAGCCTCTAATACGCTTGATGTAAGCAACTGGAAAGTGGTCTGTCGGACTAATT